TTTTCTTTTGTTCTTGAGCGAATAGGTGAAATGTTTTTCTATTCATGTTTTAAGTTGTGAATAAAAATCCTAGAGGAAACTTGAAAATCTTGAAATATCACAAAAAGTAGATTTTGTTCAGGAGAGAAAAACGAGTGTGTTTATTGATAAAAGATCAAAGTGAATAAATGAAATGAATCCAAACTGTTGATTTGTTTAAAAACAAATCTGAGCTGTAGAGTGTTGAATTGTGGGACAGAAAGTACGATAAAGTAAACAAAGAGCTCAACACACGAATAAAAACTTTCTATTTGAACTGATAAACGAGAGTTTGGCTTCAGTTCAGTTTCCAGAAATGAAGCTTTCATTGTCAGTGTAGAAAAGTTATTTGTGTAAACTTCAAATGAAACGTTTGATCGTTAGAGTCGATGTCATTTTCAACACATTCTTTCATTTAAGAGAAGAAGAGTCGTAACTGAACTGTTGCCGAAGGTTCACATTCATGAAGCTGTACCTTTACGAAGAGTTTCTTCAACCTCTGGTTGAACTTCAGCTGTTTTATCCACAGAGATTCTCTCTGTTTGTTTCTTTGACACCTTCTTGACTTTCACTTCCTGCACCTTCACAGGAAGTTCCTCAGGCGGTTTCCTCTCGTCCTCCGTCACCTCCTGAGGAACTTTGACAGGCCTCCTCTCTGGAGCAGCCTTGTCTGAAACTTTTTCCTCAACATGTTCTTCTGGAAGCATCTTTAGAGTTTCCTCCTCTTTTCTCTCAGGTCGCTCTGGAACTCTGTCCAGAGTTCTTTCCTTCAGCTCAGTTTTCTGTGGAGCTCGTCGCTCTGGTGCAGTTTCAGGTTTTTTAACAGTCTTGAGTTCAGTCTTCAACTCAACTACCTCATCAATCACTTTGTGAGGAACCGTTTCAGAAACCTCGTCTGGCACCAGTTTAGCTTTGAAAGCTTTAAGAGGGTTTGACACAAAAACATGCAGAAGATGTGAAAAGAGGACCGTGCTCACGCACAAGAACATTAAACTCAACAGTTTTTTTAAATGATCTGTTTTACACAAAAGAGCTGCTACTTCCTGACGGTGGCGCTAGAGGGAAGCTCATGTCAGGTTCAGAGAAAGAATGAGATTAGGATGTTTTAATAAAATCCAGAGATGAGATTTTCTAGTATGTGAACAGTATTTACTGATTTAAGGTTAAATGATGTTCCAGTGTTTCACAGTAATCTGGGTGAAATGATCCTGTTCGTTAAAAGACGGGAGATGAGGGTACCTTTCTCTCTCTTCAGCACTTTGGGAGGAACGACGGCAGCCTCTGGTTCCTTTGCTGCTGTTGGAGCTTCGGGAAGCTTTTCCTCCACGAGAACTAAAAGAGCATCATTCACAAACATTAGAAGATGAACTCACGTTGAAGAGCTGTTAGAGAAAAGCCACTCTATCGAGTGTGAGACGAGAAAACACGACGATTAGACGTTAGACACGACACAGAAGCTGAAGAGTTGAAGATGAAGGTGAGGGTTTTAGTGTGAGGATGATTGACAGCTCTGGTACCTTTAGCTGCCACAGGCTTCTTCTGTGGTGCTTCTTCTTCTCTCTGCACCTTCAGTTGGACTGTAGCTGGAGGAAGCCCCTCCTTCTTTGCTGCTGTTTCTGGTTCTTCAAGAGATTCAGTCACAGACATTAGAGACAGTTAAAGTGGACGACATCACATATAAAAAAAATGTTTCAAGAAGTTTAAGAATTTACACGTTTCATTCCCAAACATCTAAACCAGGTTCAACAAACAAAGTTAAAGTCGGAGTTAAGAGAATTAAGAATAAATCCAGAGCGGCATCTCAGCCAGACGTGTTGTGTACCTTTCCTCAACGGTTCCTTTGGAGCAGCCGTCGGTTCTGGTTTGGTCTTGGGTGGTTCTGGTTTTGCTTCAGGTTTTTTCATGGCCGGCTCAGGTTTGGGAACCATGACTGGTTCTGCTGTTGGTGCTGAAGGTTCTGGCATGGCGACGGCTGGGTGGGGTTTTGTTACAGGAGGCTCTGGCTTACGGACCACTGGTTTTGGTTTTTCTGGTTCTGGTTCTGGTTTTGGTTTTCGGACTCCTGGTTCCGGTTTTTGGACTCCTGGTTCCGGTTTTTGGACTCCTGGTTCTGGCTTGGTCTTAGGCTTAACCTTTGCCAGCTCAGGTTTTCCAGGTTCTCCAGGTTCTTAAAGCAACATTGAGATTGTCAACATGCAAGTAAAGACACAGAAATTGAAAGATTCGCTTCCATGTTGAAGCTGAACAAAAACAACAATGAAGACTTTGAAACTGACGACACAGAAACACACACACACTGTCTGAAGGTCGTTAAAACCCAACACACATCCAGACAGAACAGGAAATACCTTTGGAGGGTGGTGTTGTAGGCTTCTTCAGCGCTGCCGGTTTAGCTTCAGGCTCCAGCTGGATCTTGGCAGGTTTGGGTTCAGGTTCTGCTTTGGGGGGTGAGGGTTTAGGCTTTGGTTGAGGTTCTGCTTTCGGTTTGGGTTTAGGTTCTTCTGCGGGGGCCACCTTTTTGGGCTCTGCTAGAACCTGAGGCCTGGACTCATCTTCAAGTAGGTAACACAGACAGTGGCTAATGTTAGCATAGAGTGGTGGAAGGATGTAAAAGTTCTGAAGAGGCGTTCAGAAGAGCTAACACTGAACTAAGAGACACACGGAAGCAGAGCCGGCAAACAAACAGAATCTGAATAAAACCAGGACCAGCCAGATGTTAAGACTCGAGAAGCTGCAGAGCGAAGAGTGAACTGCTACTGAAGACAGGAAATGACTAGAGGAACTAGTGGAAGTACCTTTCTTTGGCACTCCAGGCTTTTCAGTGGGCAGCGAAGGAACAACAGGCCTCGGAAGCTCCTCCGGTTCTTTAAGATTCAAACATGGAGCAGAAAATCAAAGACAACAAAAGCAACAGAGCAGAATCAGGTTCAACTGTTTACACATCAGAACAGAGAATCCACATGAGGAGAACTCTCTACCTTTGAGAGCAGGAACTTCCTTCTTCTCTGGAACTGAAACCACTGCAACCTTTTCCTCCACCGGCTTTTTGGCCTCGACTACATGAGATGATGAGTGAAATGTCAACACATGAGACATGGACACGTTACTGAGTGAAGACCACCTCATCACATTAGATACACAGGAAGTGTACGATCAACATTACAGGTACAGTATGTAGGTACCTTCAGGCTGGACCTTCACTGCTGCTGTCAGCTTCTCTTCAGGCTTTTTCTCCTCAGGTTTGCGAACTTAAAAAAAACAGCAAGTGAGTTAGCATCAGCACGGAGACGCTGAGCATTTGCAAGTGAAGCAGAGAAGCGCAGAAGAGAATAAGAGACCAAAAGAAAAAGCTTTCTACAGTAGATAAAGTAAAGACCTGTAGCAAGAGAGGAAGCGTGAAAGAACCGGGACAAAGCAAAACAGAAAAGCTATGAAAGATGTTAGTAGCGGAGGACGGAGGAATGAGTTTGCAGAGAACATTGCGCGGAAGCTGCGGACGATGTTCAGCTCTGGTACCTTTAGTTGGGAGTTCCTCTCTCACTCCAATTCTCTGAGTCTCCACCGTTTCCTCGATAGCGACTCTGGCAACTGGAGAAACACAGGAACACATCCAGGATCAGTACTGACATGAAATATAGATCCTTAGTCTTTAGTATCATATTTATTCCTGAAACACTGTGACTGAAACACACAAAGATTATCAGATGACGAGGCCCATGTTAATCACAACGACCTGAAATCAAGTCTCCTGCGTGTTTGGACATTAAATACACTGATGGAGTTCAGACCTGAAATGAACGTGGTTAGAAGATGGTGACGTAACGAGTACCTGCACTTCAAGGTAAGAAATGAGTTAAAGAAGCAGCGGAGGTTATTTTCAACGAGAAGAAACACAACGACCTCACAAAGACAAACATAAAGAGCCACAGTCACAACGGCTCAGACGCACTAACCACCACGCTGTGCACCACTGGTCTGATACCTTTGGTTGTGGACACCTGTTGTGTTACCGTCTCCTCCGTCCGGCTCTGATACTCGACTGTGAGCAGAAGTGACAGACGTCAAGAAACGTGAGAAGAAACGTTTGTGACCATTCAGGTGTGAAGTCTGACAACTGCAGAGAAAAACGTGCTTTGTCTAAAAGAAGTCAATTATTTTATTATCGCTATTTCCTCCAGTGAAAACAGGAAGTGGGCCGTGTAGACTTCCTGGACACAAGTCACATTATTTCCTAAAAATTTGTTGAATGTTCTCAATATATTTTATCGTCTTTTTCATGATTTTGTTGTAATTGTCTGGAAAAACTCGTGGCTGAAAGGAAAGCTACATTTAAACTAATATATATTTAATGAACTAAATAAATGACAGTACATTGCACTGTCTCTGAAATTTACAAACAAGAAGGAGCTAAAACTACTGACCTGTAAAGTTTTAACTCCTTTCAGTTATTTTGTCCTCAGCAGATCTCAGGCTTCACACATTTAATCGGTTTTAGTCTGAACTTTTACAAACTCTTTCATTTTCTACAAGATTAAAGAGTTTGAATCGAAGACACAGCTGAAGATTAGTGTGGAAACACGGAAACATGGAAGATGGGATGATCATTAGAGTAAAAAAGAAGAAAATCCCACAATGTCAGAGACTCAAACAAACGAGATCACGTAGACTCAGACAGACTCCACACACACGTCACGTGACACAATGAATGTTATCTCGAACAAAAGCAGATTTGGGTAAAATAACTTTAATGAACCTGATTTTTCCTTTTCACATGAACCGTTGATCGGAAAACTAAACAGATTTGATTTTTTGGCATCATTTAAAAAATACCCAGATCTGCTCACATGGTTTGTTGGTGATGGAGAAAATGAAGTTTGAGTAAAAGGAGGACAAACATCACGTGTTACCTCTTTGCTCCACCTCCTTCTCTTGATACGAATATTCAGAAGATTCTAAAAAGAACCACCATGTTTTTAATTCTTTCCGTTCTTAAGAACAGAGTGTTCAGTTTGTGGATTAGTTTGTCAGTGAGGTGAGAATCGTTCTCTTCTTAAATTGATGTTAATCAGTTTTTTGGTCAGGGTGAAGGATGTGAGAGGATTAAGAATAAAACAGAAGTAAATACCTCTGTGTTCAATCTCTTCTTCATACTGATAGAACTCAGCAGATTCTTTAAAACAAAAAAACATTTTGGTTTCAATATGTATGTTTAAATAAATGGACTGATAAGAAGTTTCACATCTACGTTCTGCTCCTGGTTCTAATCTTACCTTGAATTGCCACTGACGAGGACACGTCAGGCCTCTGAATCGAGGTGTCTGGAACATCTACAAGTTCATACCAAAACTTTCTTTAAGACAAAACTACCACGGCACAACTATTCAAGAACAAATGTGCGTAAAGTAGAACTGAAACATTGACATTTGAAAAAATCCTCCTGCTCTCCAGAGTTGTTGAATGATGTCAGGTATGAAGAACATTCTGGTCAGACTTCATCCTGACTTTAGAACTATGGCAGCTATGGTGTTACCTATTTGAGCCATTATCGGTAATGGATAGGCTAAAGATTGAGATCCTATGACCAGAAGCGGCTCCACATACATGACAATATATCTCTCCAACAAAGGAGAGAGAGTCCTAATTCCATCTGTCAGTCACGTTCACGTAAACTCAGAAACCGATCTTCACTTATTTTAAGTAGTTTACCAGTATAAGGTTTGAAGCACCAGCCAGTTAGCAGATACTGGTTACTGATGTTCAGTATGATGCCAGACATGCAACAGGTAGAAGCTTCTGTTCTGTAGAGTTGTACAATTACAATTGAGTCGAGTTCCAATAAAAACTAAAAACAACAACAGACACACGAGAGACGACTTGTCAGGACTCAAAGAAACGCGAAAAGGCTCACTGCCTTCGTCAGTTCAGACAGTCTCTGTGGATATTAAACGTTTCCACATATCATGGATAACTGTCATTAAGTGTTTGGAGCTTCTATGTTGAGCAGTTTCCAGTCACACTCTGTTTTAAGGGACCAGACATCGAACCAATCTGCGACTAAACCTCTAAAATTACAAAGATCGGGCAGCGAGTAGCAGCATCCCACCTCGTTTAGGTTTTTCTAACCATAGAGTTGTTGCAGTGTCTGGAGAGCTGATCGTGATTTCAGGGGTTCTCACAAAGTTGCATGTGGATGATCACTAGCAAGTCATTGTCAAGGAGCCCTCGGGGCCCAGCCTGCTTTTCTACCCTGTTCCAACACCCCTGTACAGAGAACAAGAGGATTTCCTGAAATGTCCAGACATGTTGACAAGCTAGAGACAGAATACTTACCAGTGGGAACCATTGCTAATTCAATTTCTGTGAAAAAGGGAAAGAGTGAAAAAAGTGTTTAACACTAAATGAGACAAAAGCGGAACAGAAGATCAAAGTTGGCGTCTGACTAGGAACTGTACCTTTGCCAGACAAATAAAGCTCAGCTGTGCTCTTAGCCTCTCCTCTGGGCTCCAACCTCACAATCACTGAGTACACGCCTACATGGGATTAGTAATGAAGACGTTTAACACTCAGAAAAACAATCAGGAAAAAAATCTGCAGGGCTTTGTGACGGGCGTTTGGGGCCAGATGGCGCTCTACACACCTTCGTCTTCAATGGTCACGTTTCGGATGACCATGAAATGTCTTCTGTCCTCGCTTCTGAAGTTGTACTTAGTGCTCTCTTTCAGTTCCCAGGTGTCTTTGTACCATGACACGATAGCGTTGTCAAAGGACACCTCGCACTCAAAGGTGGCCGACTGGCGCTCGTTGACTTCGACGTTGTGGATGCGTTTGGTGAAATGAATTTGCTCGGCTAAAACAGATAAAGACGTGAATGGGTAAACGTGTTTGGCATCACAACTGGGAATGTATGACAACAGCTGAATGCTAGTTTTCACCGACACCACATCCACACGGTTAAAAATGAGGATCAGAGGACTAGTGGTGGGACAGTTATGATGACTGTTTGTTGGGGGGGTGTTTGAGTCGGGACAGATGTAAGAAGACAACACATGAGATGATGGCAGACTTTTTTCCTCCGGGAGAACAGAGGAGTAAAGAATGTTAAGAGAAGAAAGAGCGGAAAAAAGAGGGAAAACCCCAAATCTCCAACATTAGTTGTTCGATGGAGTCAAAGAGGTTAGTGGTAGAACATCCACGTCTAGAAGGTTGCAGGAAGGTTTCCAGGTACAAACCTTCCACCCAGAGGTCGGCTGACGACTCCAGGTGCTGGTACTTGCAGGTGTATCGACCCTGGTCTTCGTGCTTCAGGTCTCTGATCAGAAGCTTCTGAACCTTGTGCTTCACCTCAGATGTGTACCTGCCCTTCATCTCTAACTGCTTTCCGTTTTTATACCAATGAGCCTCTACGTTAGGGACGGACAACTGACAAGACAGAGTGCACGACTGTCCTTCCTTACCCGATGTGTCCTGCAGATGCTTCTCAACCTCCACTTCTGAAAGACAAAACAAATACCAATGGGTTTGGACGTCACTGGACAGTTTCCACCAACCAGTGACCAACTGGTGTTCAGTAAGAACGGTCGTAATTACTCTCATAACTTAGAGCAGCAGGTTATGAGCAGACGATAGAGCGGTTGTTACTGACCCATGACAGTGAGCTTGGCGCTGGAGATATGCGGCCCACAGACCACCCGATAGTTGCCCTGGTCGGACGACTGGCACTTCTTGATCTTGAGCAGGTGGCGGTCGCCACTGATGCTGATGTCGTACTTGTCACTGCTATCCAGTTTCTGCGTGCCCTTGTACCAGGACAGGGTGATCTCTGGGTAGTTGATCTTGATCTCGCACTCAAACTCCGCCTCTTTGTTGGTGAAGACTGACTGATCGGAGATGTCCTTCACCACAGTGACGGGCTGCAAGAGCGCCAAGAGAATAAACTCCAAGTTACTGATACGTTAACATCATATTTCTCCTGTTTAACTACTAACTTCTAAATCACATGCTCGGATTTTAAAGTGACTTTTGTTTGCACATCATCAGATGGAGGCGCTGCTCTTCTCCATCACCCTCTTTTCTTTTTTATATTCATCCAAACTGTGTCTGCTCTGTCTGTGAGTGAACGTGTCCTGACCTCTGTGCGCTCCATCCTCTTCTGCAGGTCGGCCACCAGTCGGGCCATGTCCTCATCTGACTCTCTGTCTCCACGTTCCAGTTCCTGTCAACACAACATTATTACTCAGGACAACGTCTCCACACACACACACACACGAGCAGCTGACTGAGCAGAACTTTACCGGTCTTCCACTTTCTTCAGCTTTCTCCTTCTTCAGCTGCTCGATGGCCTGCAGCAGTCCGCGGTAGTCTGTGATGCCGTACATGCGGGCATACTTCTCGTACTCTTTGGGGTCCACATTCCTCAGAAGCTCAACGATGTCGATGTCCTTCTCCTCCTGTGGACTCTTCTGCTTCGATGGCGTCCTGAGGACAAAACAAAGGAGACATTGTAAAGATGGAGACGCAGGTTTGATTGGTTAGAGGATGTTTCCACAGACATCTGAACACCAACATGTTCTCTGGTAAACTCACTTCTTCAGTTTGGCTCGGAGGTCTCCCTCGAGCAGCGACGCCTCTTTCTTCTCGTCCACGTGCATGTCGGTGTTGCACTCGATCTCTCCGTGCTTGCTGGAAGCAACACACCTGTACTGACCCGAGTCTGACTTGGTCACCTCTCTGATCTCCAGTTTGGCCTCCTGGCCCTTCTGTTCGATGGAGATCCGGCCACCGTGCGTTATCTGCCTCCACTTCCCTTTCATCCACTTCACACTGGGGATCGGGTCTCCGCCCACCTTGGCGATGAAGGTGGCGGTGCCCTCTGAGGAAGAACAAGTGGCGGTTTAGGACAGAGCTACAGTCACAGGTTGTGTGTTGCGTTGTGTGTTGTTTGTGTGTGTCTCACTCTCAGTCACGTGAGCAGTTTTCGGTTGCTCGATGAAGAACAGGTTGTCCAGTTTTTTGGGCGGAGCAACAGCTGGAGCTTCAGCCCGAGGCGGGGCTGCTCCTGGTTTCTCTGCAACACAACAACAAGGTGCAATAATACACAACTGTTTTCTTCCACTGATAAAAACACATGAATATTGAGTTTGAAGTGTGTGACAAAGAAAACAACTTTAAAACGAGCTCCAGTAAAATCACGTGAACAGATTTTTATCTTGTCGTTCTTTACTCTTCATGAGGCTGCAGCATTGTTCGTAAGTTCTTATCTTCATTAAAGTGAAACCTCTAAACTCACGAGAAGATGCAGTTTGTGTAAAGTTCGGTTCACGATGAAGCAGTTTCACACTTTGATGACAAGCCCCAGTGTTCTGAGCTACAACATGTAATGACCTCAGGTGTCCAGCAGGTGAAGCCAGTCAATCACTGACAGACAAATAAACCAGCGATGGAAAGAGAAAGTGTTTAAAACATTAGGGGGAAATAAAAACTGCTTTTTTTCTCCCTGGTGCTACGGTGACATTATTCGTCATTTACTTACCTTTGACTGTCACTTTAGCTTTGCAGAACTCGCTGCCAGCCTCATTGGACGCCTTGCAGAGGTAATCGCCAGCGTCGTGTCTGGAGGCGGCGCTAATCTCCAGGCAGGCTGTCCCATCGGAGAAGCTGATCCTGGTGCTTCCGGCCGACATCAGGTCCTTCCTGTCCTTCATCCACTGGATCTTCAGAGGCGGTGACCCGCAGACGTGACACCTGAGGCTCAGCTTCTCACCCTCGTCCACCGTCGCCGGTTTGAGCGAGACATCGAAGACCGGAGGTTTCTTGGCCTCTGCAGAAGAGAAAAGAGTTTTATTTTCTGAGCAGAGTGACGGAGGACGCACTGACGTCAGTATTAGAAAACTCATCATCTTCTAACTATCTGTACTTATACTGGATCCATGTCTATTATTACACATTAACACATGAAGATCCCTGATGAGTCAACTGAGTATTATTAATACTATTAATACTATTAATACTATTAATATTATATTATCATATATTAAGAATCAGGATTTATCTTAGTTAGTTTTATTTTAACCTGTTGGATAAGATAAGTTAAGATAAGATTAAGTTAAACTAAGTTAAGATAAGATTAAGTTAAGCTAAGTTAAGATAAGATAAAGATAAGCTAAGTTAAGATAAGATTAAGTTAAGCTAAGTTAAGATTAGATAAAGATAAGCTAAGTTAATATAAGATAAAGATAAGCTAAGTTAAGATTAGATAAAGATAAGCTAAGTTAAGATAAGATAAAGATAAGCTAAGTTAAGATAAGATAAAGAAGGGTTGTTATAAGGAAAAAAAAGAGAAATATTTACACCAAGAAAACAAACATCGACCTCATTGAGGTATTTATAAATTGACTGTGATCTGTTTATGAAACTGAACTAAAGTCAGAGATAAAAGAGAATTAACATAATAAGAGAATCATAAAAAAAAAATTTAATAAAAAAAATACGAAATAAGAGATTCAAAGAGAGATAGAAATAAAATGAGGAAGTGAAGCCTGCGAAATAAAGACGACGCTATAAACGACGTTGAGTCAAAGTTTTGATGGAATGAGTCGTATGCAACGTGACCTCTGTAAGCCACACCCACCTGAGATGCCCACGGTGATGTCACAGGAGGCTCTTCCCGCCTCATTGGAGGCCTGGCAGGTGTAGCTGCCGCTGTCGCTCACCTGGCTGCTCTTGATGCACAGCACGGCCACGTTACTCTTAAAGCTGATGTCATATTTGTCGGAGCTGTGGATCTCCGTGTTGTCTCTGAACCAGGTGATGGATATGGGCTGAGAGCCCGAAACCCGTCCCTCCATCTTCACCAGTTTTCCCTCCATGTCCTCGATGTGCTCTGATGGCTTCTTGGTGAACACTGGAGGGTTCTTACGCTCTGAAAACAAGAGAGGGGAGCGACGTGAGGACGGGAAGCTGCGTTTTTCAGCACAAAGAAACGCCATCACATAGGCTTGAGTTAAAGAAGAGGGGTCGAGGGGGATAAGAGTTTGGCCCCGGGGTTAAAATACCTTTGACCGTGATGTCAGAGGAACAAGAGTCCTTCCCCACGTCATTAGTGGCATGGCAGAAGTACCTCCCTGTATCGGCTCTATCTGCCTTCACAATGGTCAGGTGCGGCGTGTTATCATCGCAGCTCATCTTATAATTCCCCCCAGAGCGAATGTCTTTGTGGTCTTTGGACCATGTGACTTTAATGGGGGCGGAGCCGGTCATGTGACACTCCAGCTCGATGCTGTCGCCCACTGTCACTTCCTGTGGTGACAACGTCCTGTCAAAGACTGGAGGGTATCTGGGTTCTGCAGGTCCGTCACAGAGCGAGAAGAAGATAGCGCCACAAGAACAACAACAAGAAAACACGTTGAGGTGAAATGTTTGAACGACGTTATTTTGTTAATATTATTATTTTAATAATATTTCACAGAAGTTCTGATTTTATTTAACATCTCTCTCACAACCATAAACCGTGAATAAAGATGGATGACACAACGTCTCTTTAAAGTAAACTCAAATCCTCTGTATCGCCCCCTGGTGTCTGACTGCAGTATAGGTCCTCACCTCCTCCACGTTAGCAGTCGTCCATCTTTATTTACAGTTTGTGATGAAGCACACGAGGTGGGAAGCAAATTTTTTGATTTCATTGATTGTCTTTTAAAATAAAGCTGAACTAAAGTCAGTTTTATTAACTCTTCGTTCCACATTGTCACTGAAAATATAAACTTGTTGAAGGTTATTCAAACCGAAAAGAGTGTTTGAGATCAGAGCACTAAAGAATTACATCAGAACCATTCAACCGATCAGCTTTCACTCCACTGACCCTGCAGGGTGAGCTTGGCTCTGCAAGAGGCCGAGCCCACGCTGTTGTTGGCCACGCAGGTGTACTCTCCAGAGTGCCTCATCTCACTGTGGTCAATCTGCAGCACGGCCGTATTGTCATCGTACAACATAGAGAAGTCGTTTCCATGCGTCAGAGGCTCGCCGTCTTTCAGCCACGACACCTCGATGGGTGACGAGCCCGCGACACGGCACTCGAACCTGACAGGCAGACCCTCCGTCTGCTGCAGGCTGGTGATCTTCTTGGGGAAGGTTGGTGGCGTTTTGGCCTCTGGAGCAGACATGAGAGTGAAATGTCACAAATACATTTACTCAAGTACTTCAGTAAAAATATGAAGTGTAATATCAAACATTCATGTAAATGTACAACAGTGTTTAACTATGATGCTAAATAAAGAACAGCTTTTATATTTATTCATCTTTATTATTGTTGTGTATCAGATTAAAATCATAAAATGATTTTTTAAATGGAATGTGTTAAATAAATACTTATCTGACAATTTATATTGTTCATTTTACAAATGAGCAGGTTGTCATTTTGAGATTTCAATATGTAATTTTGTCAAATATAATCATGTGTTTCACCTTGAACACTGAGTCTGCAGGTGGAGGAGGAGGAGCCAATGCGATTCTCCGCCTTGCAGCTGTATTCTCCGATGTCGGCCTTGGTGGCTTTGCTGAGCTTCAGGCAGGCGACGCCCTTTGAGTACTCCAACTTACAGGTGGGGCTGGACCGCACTTTACCGTCAGCCTTGAACCACGACACCTTGATGTCAGGAGTTCCTGCCACTTGACACTTGAGACACACGGCGTCCCCGGCGGTCACCTCCATGGGCTCCAGAGACTCGACAAAATACGGTGGCTCTGCAGGGACAAACACAAACCATTAAAATCAACTATTATTCTAGACTGGCAACCAATCAGAGCTGAGAGCACGCCCACTCCTCCAATCAAGTTTTTATTTTCATTCAGGGCGAGAGGAGAGGATCCAATGAGGAGAGAGATCTAGAGACAGAGCTAAGCTAAGCTAATTAGGAGCTGCTAAAAGAGATCCAGTGACTGAGCTAAGCTAATTACTTGAAATGAGTAATTGAGTTTTTATATCAAAACAGTAAAAATCTTACTGAGAGTCTCTGACAAACGATGAGAGGGTGAGCTCACCGAGAATGGAGACGGCCGCCTCACATGTGTCGTCTCCGGCATCGTTGGACACTCGGCAGCTGTATCGTCCTGCCGCCTCCTTGTCGTCTGTACTGAGACACTCCAGGATGCAAGAGCTCTCCGTCGTGGTGATGTTGTATTTGTAGGAAGCAAAGATTTGCTGTCCGTCTTTGTACCAGTTCACCGTTATCTTTGGTGTTCCGGCGTACGTGCACTCCAGAGTTAACGGTTTCCCCTTCTCCACCGCCATGTCCTTCAGCTTCTTGGAGAAGGCAGCGGGTTCTGAGGGACAGAGGAACAAAGAGTTAACACAGTGACTGACCGTTTTAAATCTGAGTTCAGGGTTTGTAGTAAAATAATTGACTGGTTAGGGTTAGAATAGTTAAAATAGCAAACCTCGGTTACATTTCTTTGTCATAAGGGTTTGATGAAGTATAAGGGATCATTGACAAGTTTTATACATAAATATACTGCATCAGGTGGTGTATCAGTAAATATCTGTATCATACTGGCCGTACAAATCCATACCTTGCAGTTTTATTAATTTACTATGTTCCTCTGACAGAATGAGCTTCAGTCTGTATTTCTACAGGACGGCTGAAGGAATGTAAAACATGTCTGACCTTTGACAGTGAGGTTAACTGGACAGCTTTCCTTTCCGGCGTCATTGGCGATCTGACACGTGTACTCGCCAGCGTGAGATCTGTTCACGTTGAAAAGCTCCAGAACCACCTGGTTATCCTTCAAGGAGAAATCACAGCCTTGACCCGCCAGGATCTCTTTCGCTCCTCGGAACCACTTCAGTTTGAGCGGCGCGCTGCCTTTCACCATCGCTGAGAACGTCACATTCGAGCCCGGCATCGCCTCCACCGGCTGAGGTGGCACCACAAAGGACGGAGGTTCTGAGAACAGAGATCAAACTTAAATACAAATATGTATCTCTTCTTCTAAATAATCTGCTCTGGTATTAAAATGATGAAGTTCATTTTATATATATTAAATGAATAAGAGACTGAGTATTTCTGACCTTTGACACCAAGCAACGCGCTGGTTTCACTGGATCCCGCCTTGTTGACAGCTTTACATTTATACATTCCCGAGTCGGACAGCTTCAGCGAGGGAACTCTGAGCATGCAGCTGTTCTCACTGAAGGAAATCTCATGGTTGGGTCCGCTCTGAATTTCCTCGCCATCGTGGAACCATGAGATGGTGAAAGGGGGAGAACCTGACACTTTACACTCCATCTCTCCAGCTTCTGCGACAACTGCGTTACAGTCCTTCAACTTCCTGGAGAAGGTCGGAGGAATGATCTTATCTATGAGGAGGGAAACAGGAAGTCAGTGCTGCATCAGGACAAATACGGCTTCGATGTATTTTCATTTGCGGAGTTTGGAATAAAACCTCAACACTTAGTTTACAGACATTGGGGACAATCAAAGGGATAGTTCACCCAAAAATGAAACCTCACTAATGGTCTACTCACCACTGTGATTCCACTAAATCATAGTTACTCCTAGTAACTAGGAGGATATCAGACAACATTTAGGCCAAAAACATGATGGAAATGACCTCGTTTCAAACTTAATCTGAATGTCGGGACTTGTGGACACTTGGATAAAAACCACAGGAGCAGATTTGGAGGCATGTGTGTTTTGTTTCTGTTGTATTTTAAGTTTGAAGAATCGGTCTCCAGTTACTTCAGTTGGATAACGCTGTTAACCCCTGAAACTCCAGAAGCTCAAACACTATCAACAGTCAGTTCGTTACCACTTCTCCAAAATCTTATTGTCACTAACTTGAACATTAAAAAAATATCTCGCTCTACTCATCAAAGCTCAAGTTTAGAGAAAACACCAACCTAAGACGGTGAGATTAATTTTGCTCAGGTCCTTCCCGACCTCGTTCATGACCTCAAACGTATATTCTCCAGAGTCCAGTTTCTCAGCAGAAAGAACGTTTAGGCTGGAAATCATCCGGGAGAATGAGATCTTGTATTTCCTCCCAGAGGCCAGCTCCACGCCGTCCTTGAACCACTTGGGGACGAGCTCTGGGGTTCCACGCACTTTGACCTCGAGGGCGGCGATATCTCCTGCCGTCACACTCAGAGAGTCGGGCTTATCCACGATCTTAGCCGGTTCTGGAATCGACAGAGACAGAGCAGAACATGTTTTTAATCAAACCTGCCGGGGGAGAAAACTTCAAGAGAAAGAGAGAATTATATGTTTACAAACCTAGAACAGTCAAGTTAGCGAAACACTCCACACTCCCAGCATCATTGCTGAGTTGGCAGATGTATTTGCCTGCCGTAGTTGCATCGGCCTTAAACACTTTAAGAGCGACCTGGTTGTTCTCAAAGGTGATTTTCCTGTTGTCACCGTCCCTGAGAATGTGATCCTTGTCTTGAACCCAGGACACAGTAATGGGTTCAGAGCCTTTAACAGTGGCCACAAGGGTCACCTCCTCTCCCAGTATCACTGTCATGTTTGACAGTTTCTTCAAGAACGACGGAGGCTCTGAAGAGAGGAGAAAAACATCGGGGGAAAGTCAGCAAGGTGACAAATGTAACTGAAACTAATGATTTTCATTTGAGATCATCGCAATTTCTACTGACCTCTGAGTTTAACTGACATCTGGCAGGTGTCACTTCCTACACTGTTTGACACTTTGCACTCATATTGGCCGGCATCTGAGGACTCTATCCCAATGACATGCAGCGTGGCTGAGCTGCCCTCGCTCACCATCTTATATTTCCTGCTCTCCATCAGAGGCTTCCTGTCTTTGAACCAGGTGATCTGGAACGGAGCTGTACCACTCATCTCGCAGTACAGACTCACGTCCTTACCCTTCAGCCCTTCAACAGGCTCAGGGACTTTGACAAATGATGGGGCATCTACAAAAAGATCAGCAAACTGTTAATGAGGCAAAGGGATCCATGATGAAATCTAAAAGCTGAGACCCGTAACATTTCACCTTTTCACGAATCACTTTGGTTGGCGCGAGGTTCTTGAACCAACGATCAAGATATTGGAGTGGTTGTGGAAAATGGTTTGAACTACTACTAAGACGTGGTTGTGGAAGATGGTTGGGACGAGAGCTAAGATGACAGAATTGATTTAGAGTTTGATGGAACAGTCTTCTGTTAATTTGTTGATATTACAGAATGATTTGACTTCAGCTAAGATGGCCGAGGTGTGGAGGAGATGTTGGAGTTGTTGTGGTAGGAAGATTTAACTACTGATAAAAAAGATAAATTGAGTTGTTGGAAGTACAGAACAGACAGCTGATCTATATCTGATGGTTTAAATAAGATGATGGATTTATTTCTGATGTTGGGACAACAGCCAAGATGGCTGACTTGTGGATGTTTGATGGAACTACAGCTGCTACTGCTTTGGGGAAAAGATGGTTTAGATGTTGTGAATGGGATCTTAACTCTAGAAAAGATTGTGGAAGGATGATGAAACAAGAGCAGGAACCTGTGGAATGTCTTGGAGCTGTTAAAAGAGACAATGGGGCTACAGCTAAAATTACTGAGGTGTTGTAGAAAATGGTTTATCCTGATGTGTTGTTACTGTTGCATGGAATTTTGCAAAGATAACATTTGCATTACATAAAAAAATTGTTGTTAATCTTAAAATAAGAAAATCATCTGAGTGGAGGTGCAGGTCTTTAATGGTGGAGACTTTTAAAAATGTTACGGACATCAGCTTTAAGCAATAAATCAAGAACCGAATGACACAGCTAGTGCATCAGAACATGAATCGGGGAGGCTGACCTTTAACAGTAAGTGTGCTGCTGCAGCTGACACTGCCAGCATCATTCTGAGCTTCACAGGTGTAAACTCCATCATCATCAAAGCTGGCGGCGAGCAGTTCCAGGACTGCCACTGAGTCAACAAATGATGTCCGGAAGTTGCCCCCGTCTGTGACCTTGGTGTCGTGTTTGTACCAGGTCACTTTCAGAGGAGCTGTGCCACTGACTTTACACTCCAGGTGGAGTGATTCGCCCTGCTTCACAAATTTAGTGGCTGGGAGTTTCAGCACAAACTCAGGTGGTTCTGCAATGCCAAAGTACAGACATGTTAGCTGCTGGAAGCACCAAGGGACACTATTGACAGGCAGGATGTCAGCTGACAATGATGGGTTAGCAGCAGACGCAGGATGGTTGTGTAAAATACAAATGCAACACAAATGGAACAAATAGTTGTTGAGAAGCTTGAGAAGCAAAAAAGCTTCAAATGAAAACATGAACGTTCTGCGAAGCTGAGAAAACGTGACAGAATCACTGGTTTGATCCAGTGAAGCAGATGAAATGAAAACAGCCACAAGAATTGACTTAAAAGACGAGAATCCAACCTTTGACTGTCAGGTCGGCACTACACTGAATAGAGCCAGCGTCGTTGCTGACTTGACAACAGTAAACTCCACTTTGGGCAACACCCACTGAATAGAGCTCTAAGAAGCAACACATCCCCTCCAGCCCAGTGAAACACGAGGGCCCAGTCATGAGCTCTGAGTTGTCTCTGAACCATTTCACAGTGAACGGAGGAGTTCCTTTAAAAGAGCTTTTAAAGCGGACAGTGGAGTTGGGTAGAGCTGCCTGGGACTCGGGCAGCGTCACGAAGCTCGGGGGTTCTGAAGAAAATGAGACGGAGCAGGGTGAAGAGACAGTCACATTTAGGTTCAGGATTAAATGACCAATCACACTGGAGATCACATTCTAACCTTTGACCATGAGGGAGGCGCTGCTCTGACAGCTTCCCGCTGGATTGGTCAGTTTACAAGAGTACGATCCTGCGTCGGATCTCTCAAGCTGCTCAATCTCAATGGACACAGCGTTGTCCTGCTGAATGAGTTTGTGTTTTACACCGCTGGAGATTTTGGCCCCATCTTTCTGCCACTCTACGCAGATCGGGAGGGAGCCGGATATTTTGCAACATATCTGAACAAAGGAGCCCAGGATCTCCTGCCTGTCTACCAGCGGTTTGATGAAGCTTGGAGGAATTACTTGCTCTGTTCCCAAGAGAGAATGGTAATAATTACACTGTGTTCAATGTTTCTAAATGGACCTAAGGTATAAGAATTTTACACCGACCTAGTACGATCACTCGGACTTTGCAGGAGCAGCTACTGATGTGGTTCGACACCTGGAAGTAGTATTCTCCTTCATCCTCTTTGTGAGCCGACTGGAGCTTTAAGCTACTCGTGTTGTTCTCAAAGCTCAGTTTATGCTGCCTGATGGACTGAAGCTCTTTACCGTCTTTCATCCATTTCACTTTGAGCTCAGGGGAACCTGTCACTTTACAGTCCAGACTGACTGGATCTCCAGCTGTGACCTTTATCACCTCTGGTTTCTCTGTGATCTGAGGAGGCTCTACAAAGCAAAGGAAAGTCAAACATTCATTTAGTGTCTGACACATTCGGACCATGTAAAGATGTGATGATCAGCACAGGTGTACCTTGCACTGTGAGGGCAGCAAAGCATTTGTCCTGCCCAGCCTCGTTTACCACCTGACAGGTGTATTTCCCACTGTGAGTCACCTCACAGGCAGGAATCCTAAGAGTGGCCACATTGTTCTCAAATGTTCTCTCAATCTTTGGATCTTCCAAAATCCAGCTGTCATCTTTTTGCCATTGTACAGAGAGAGTGGGAGAACCCTGCACGGCACACTGAAACTCTGCCATTTTACCCAGAACAGTGGCACTGTTCTCAATCCTCCTGGTAAATGTTGGTGGCTCTATTCGAGATAACCAGTGACATGTTAATTAAACACTCGATTATCACGTCAAAAAAATGTGTTCTGTGATCAGACCAACCTTTGAGCTTTAGCGTGGTCTTACAGGTACAGCTGCCCACCTCACTAGCAACAGTACAGTGATATTCACCCACATCAACAGCTTCGCATTTGTGCACCTCTAGAGTCACAGTGTCGTTCATCTGTGAGAAGCCATGTTTGGCGCTGGGTTTGATCTCCTTTGCATCTTTGTGCCACGAGATTTCAAATGGACCCGTCCCAGAAACCTGACTCTCAAAACAGGCACTGGAGCCTTTTACTACTTCAACTGGAGTCAGCTCTCTAATGAACGATGGTGGTTCTGAGATGAGAGAAAACAGTCACCAAACTTTACTCACTTCCTTCGTTTCTTTATATCTTATGAAGCAGACTTTTCTTGACATTTCTCTCTGGAGGTTTCCCACAGAAATAAAATCTGAAATGTAAACTGTAATGGTATTCGTAACAGTGATTAGGTTGCCAGTATATACAGGATTCAAGTTGTAGTGTCAAGTTAAAATAATCTTTTAAATTTCAGAAACATATTCCGTTCATCTTCAGGTTGATAATATTGATTTGTGTTATTACTTTAAAATGTTTTTTTTGGGAAACCTCTGCTTTAAATCCGCTGTTCTTCAAACTCCTGTGCAATGATCATCATGTCCTCTGACACAACTGACCTTTGACCTTGAGCTCCATGCTGCAGCTCTCGCTGCCGGCCTCATTACGAGCCTCACAGTAGTAAATCCCACCGTCTTTGCTCTCAGGCCCACAGACTTCCAGAGTGGCCACAGAGTTAGTGAAGCTGATCTTGAACCGATCACTGGGGACGATCTCCAAACCCTCTTTGAACCAGTAGATGTCTATCTCAGGTGTGCCGGCCACATGACACTCAAAGACTTTACTCTGACCGAGACGGACCACGGACACACGGGCCGGAGTCCGTATGAACTTAGGAGGCTCTAAAGTAGAAAATAAGATGATTGATGTCACCATGAGAAAGATGATGAGGAAAACTTTGATCTCTATAAAGTTAAAAGTTTCCATCCAAATGCTGCGATCCTGTTTCTTTGGTTTTCTGGATCTTGTTTTCACTCTGCAAACGAACGGAGCCATGGTTTGATCCAGACCAAGACTTCCTCTTTTGGTCAGATTAAATTTTGGTCAGTGGGTCTGGACTGTGTCTGAGGAACCTTTCACACCTGATGTTTAGGAACAGACTAAAGTGAAAAGTCTGGAGGTCTGGAGAAAATAAGGTCGGTTTGAAAGATTAAGTCCTATGAGCACGAGTTTGAAATTCCTGCTCTTTTAAGAAGTGGAGGATCAGTGTGAAGCCGAAGGAAAGCAGCTAACCTCGTCTTCTA